CCCGTTCGAAATAATCCAGCAATAGCATATATGGAAGAAAAACCACATTATTCACAGGAAGATGAGAAATTAGCTCAAGTAACAGAAGCAAGGAAAAATGTTAAAGGGTGGTATATTTCCCCCACAGGACAAGTGATTCTACCTGTCAGAATAATGAAAGCAGTACTCGAAACGGAACATAATAAGTGCCACTGGGGTGCAGAAGCAATGGTAAAATTTTTGAAAAATGAGGTTCTCTCAAACCAGATGTTAACACTAGCAAAAAGCGTAAATGCAATGTGTCCCATGTGTATAAAGAATAACCCAGTGGTCAGAAAACAGGTGCAAATGGGAAAGTTACAGGTAGGACAGTTACCAGGAGATTATTGGCAAATAGATTTTTCTGAGTTGCCTAAGGCCCAAACTTTTAAATATCTGCTAGTGTATGTTTGTACCTTCTCAGGGTGGCCAGAAGCTTTTCCATGCAGGACCAATCAAGCAAAAGAAGTAGTTAAAACTCTTCTGAGAGAAATTATTCCGAGATTTGGGATACCTCTAGGGTTATCATCTGATCGAGGGCCACACTTTACCGCAGGGATAGTGCAAGAAATATCTGTTGCACTGGGAATAGCGTGGAATCTCCATACACCATGGAGACCGCAATCCAGTGGACAAGTAGAGAGGATGAATCAGACATTGAAAGGTCAATTAAAGAAAATTTGTCAAGAAGCAAAAATTCAGTGGCCCCAAGCACTACCACTTGCCTTGTTGAGAATCAGGATCAAACCCAGGGAAAGAATAGGAGTAAGTCCATACGAAATATTGTATGGCAAGCCCTATCATGCAGCTACCTATCAAGGGGATCCTCATGTGGTGGGGGATCAAGCAGTGTTTAACTATGTGTTATCTTTAAACAAAACTCTCACGGCCCTCAGAGGAGCACTGCAGTGGAATCGGCCTCTGCCCCTGGAGAATCCAGTTCATGACATTCCTCCAGGAGACCAAGTCTATGTGAAAAACTGGTCGGTGGAACCATTAAAGGAAACATGGGACGGTCCACGTCAGGTGATAATGACGACCTACACGGCAGTAAAAGTCGAAGGAATCGACAGCTGGATCCATTATACTCGGGTCAAGAAGGTTCCCGTCTCGTGGTCAGTAGAGCCTCTCTCACTGACAAAAATGGTGTTTCGTCGAACTACTACCTGAAGATCTTAGTGTTTCTGAAACTGATAGGTTTGACAGAGACTTTTGTAAGAATTGAAACTCCTGACCCTTATTTACTGGTCCCCGAAGTTACTGATGTAAATCTAACCTGTCTATTTTCTGATGACCAGGGAGCTGAATTAAGAGATGTTAACGTCAAGTGGAGATGGAGAGATCAAGATCAAATCATGACAGAAGGAGTGACAACAGTTTGGGATGCTACACAACAAAAAGGTTATACCGTTCTGCAGGTACCCAAAGTGTCCAAAGCTATAGAAGGGACATATATGTGTGTAGTTTGGATTTGGGAAAGTTTTGATTATGGACATATAGAAATACAGACAATAAACACGACTCAGAAGACGGTGACCAAAGTGCAAATTTTACCCACTAGGAAACAATCAGACATGTGGGATGGTCCTCCCTTAAAAATTAATTGTACCTTCCAATTTGATGATTGTCGAAAATCAGTTAAAGTAAAGTGGTGGAAATTGAATATG